GAGAAAACCAACAAGGACACTGATTCAAAGAAAGAAATTGAATATTACAGGAGGACCTTGGGGAAACACAGGAAGTCTTCAAATTTTTTTTGCAAAAATGATAGTCATGATTAAGCCACAAAAGTTAAATGGAAAAAGAATATCTCATCATACATCAAAAAAAAAGCAAGCAACAGGGCTCATGCAAAGAATTCAAAGAATCGGTGCAGAGTTGTAAAGGTAAGCAGAATTTTGCTAACTGTGAGATAAATGAAACTTCATTAGTTGTAATTGTATTTTTAAATATAAAAATCCCAATTCAACTGGCTTTCATTATTTACCATAAAATTAGTTTCTGATTTTAAATACAAGTAAATACATGCAAAATGTTTAGATGACTGGTTAATAAAAAGGAATCTCATATATATGCATATATGTATATATAATATAAAATATTTTCTTTTAGCTTAAAACATAAATAACAGGGTTTTGTTTTGTATAGTTGGGGGGTTTTAACCAGTATTTGGCTGTAGGTCCTTGGTCTTTTGAGTGTGGGTCCACTATCCAGAGCCCTATGTATCTTTCTCCCATATCTCGTTGACAATTTTCACTTTTAATCTCTTTCAAGCAAAGTGAAAACTGGTAGATACGTGCAAAGTTCTTACAGATTTGAATGCTTTTTTCCCCAATCTTTCACAATCATCATACCCACAACTAATGTGACAGAGATTCTTCTGTGTCTCACCTTCATTCATTCTTTCAAAGCATTTAACTTAGTTTTCATTGGAACAACTTTAATTTTGCACTTACATACTCATGTTTAATAGTATTTAGTTAAATTCCGTAAGGATAGTTATAACAGGTATAGTCAGATTTGTGAAAAAATATGATGGATTCTCTTGGGGTCCATAACTCACCTGGTGTGCAGGTGTCATGAGCATTCATTGTGCTGTGGCATCCCTCTGGCTGCTGCACACCACACCAGGAATGACAGGTATCTGTTACTGGATGAGTCAGCTAAGTGGAGGCTTGTTAAGAAACTTTTTACTATAATGTCACCTACAGTGTACTTATAGAGGGACAACTATCCCATAAATGACAAGATTTCCTGACTTAGGACATCTGGAAATACCTGGGAATTATGGTGTCTGGAAAGAGCACAGAGAAACCAAGTTCCAACCCCAGTTCTCCTGCAAGTAGTCCATAAAAATATTGATAACTCTGATAGGACACCAGCTTTTACTCTATTCTCAAGGTTATCTTCTTACTCTCTGTGTCTACCTAAGACATAGATCTCACCGAGGAGTGAAACCACACACACTGATGGATCTGAAATTCTATCAGAGTCAGCCTGATAAATACCCACTAATAAAAATACTTGCAGATGGGAATGTTTTATTTATTTACTTTTATAAATATGAAAAACAACCAACAATATCCCCAGAGAAGAAGAAAACTTCTTGCATGTGCATAGTAGGTGTTTAATAAACACATGATGAATGATACATGGGCTGAAATATTTCTGCCGGTGCATATTAATTCCATTCATTCTAATATCAGTGATGTTTATGCACGATGAGGAAATGCACCAATATTAAACTGGATCCTCCAAATGAATGTGATGTAGGAACTGAAGTGTGACTTAGGGATCCCAGAAGCACTATGTGGAAGCAGTGATCTGTAAAGCACTGGCGTAAAGGTTACCATAGCTGTCATGGCATAAATGAAATCACTGCAACATGTGTACCTGAGTGAGGATAGAAACAAAGAAAATGAAATCACTGCAACATTTGTATCTGAGTGAGGAAAGAAATAAAGAGCTTGGAAATAGGAACTGGAATTTTCCGTGTACAAGCAACCTTGGAAGAGACACCACTATGTCATTAAAGAAATCAAATTAAGGCAATTTGACGTACACCTTTATGTATTAATATAAAGCAGGCTCCTACAGCACCAAACTAGAACTAGAATCTTAACCATGCTTAAGCTGCAAAAACTATGGTAGCAATTCGATGGGTTAAAATCTCTTCAAAAAGACTTTGTATCAACATATGGCAGAGGAAGAACACCCTTTTCAGTCAAGCATGTCCTTTGATTATTTTTCTACCTTAAAAAAATGTCTGGGGCTTCTCTGGTGGCCGCAGTGGTTGAGAGTCCGCCTGCTGATGCAGGGGACACGGGTTCGTGCCCGGTCTGGGAGGATCCCACTTGCCGTGGAGCGGCTGGGCCCGTGAGCCATGGCCGCTGAGCCTGCGCGTCCAGAGCTCGTGCTCCGCAACGGGAGAGGCGACAACAGTGAGAGGCCCGCCCCGCGTACTGCAAAAAAACAAAAAACAAAAAACAAAAAACTTTTCCGGGCTTCCCTGGTGGCGCAGTGGTTGAGAATCCGCCTACCAATGCAAGGGACACGGGCTCGAGCCCTGGTCCGGGAAGATCCCACATGCCGCGGAGCAACTAAGCCCGGGCGCCACAACTACTGAGCCTGTGCGCTAGAGCCTGCAAGCCACAACTACTGAGCCTGAGTGCCACAACTACTGAAGCTCGTGCACCGCAACAAGAGAAGCCGCCAAAATTAGAAGCCCGCGCATGGCACCGAAGAGTGGCCCCGACTCACGACAGCTAGAGAAAGCCCGCTCGCAGCAACTAAAACCCAACATAACCAGAAATAAATAAATAAATAAATAAATAAATAAATAAATAAATAAATAAATTTTTTTAAAAAGATTGGGCTTCCCTGGTGGCACAGTGGTTTAGAGTCCCCACGGATTCGTGCCCTGGTCCGGGCAGATCCCACATGCCGCGGGGCGGCTAGGCCCGTGAGCCATGGCCACTGAGCCTGCGCGTCCGGAGCCTGTGCTCCGCCACGGGAGAGGCCACAACAGTGAGAGGCCCGCGTACCGCAAAAAAAAAAAAAGATTAAGGGGAAAATGACTCAAAGTACCAAAAGCTAGATGAAAGACCAGCAGTTAAGGTTTCTCCATGGTGGTGTGATGGATGGAGGTCAGAGAACTGTGGCTAGTTGATAGTGTTGTATTTGGTGCTCCTCTCACTTGGTTCCATTTTCATCACTGTACAAATGAAGAGGCAAAAGTAAATGTTTTGCTGGAATTCCATTTCCACTTTTCTACTCCGGCCAAACTTCAAAATTGGAACAATTTTGAAAAGCTGAAGGCGTCTATTTACTTTTCTCATTTACAGTTACCTAAATATGTGTGTGCAAATTTAAAGGTTTTCTGACCTAAATAGGAAAGAAAAAAAGTTTATCCTTTCCAATGTAGGATTTGGTGGGTGTGGCAATCCGGGAAGACCTGGGAAATAACTACTGTTTTCTTTGGATGATACACTTGGCTACCGTTAAAAGAGTGTATAATTATAGCCTAAATGTAGACTTAAACTTTTAACAGATTTATCTAAAGTTTCAAAATTTGTGCCATTGGATGTAATTATCTAAAACTATCTTATGGCAGATGTTGCAGTACTCAAAACACTGAGCTAATATGAAATCTGAACCCGCTTTAAAAATCCCTCGGATATCACTATCCTCCTCAGTTACCATTTATAGCCAGGAAGGAGGTTTTCATTTTATCTATTTCCAAAAAAATCAAAGGAATTATTTTGTAGACAGTTTAGACTCCTGTCGAAATATATGAAAACTGACAGGATACCGCTCTCCTTTCTGTTCCTGAGGAGCCCTCTGCCTGCCCCCCGCAACCCAGTCCCCGCCTTAATTCCTGTTTCACAAAATAAATCTAGGGACTCTGCTGCCGGGTTGTGGGAGATTTCTCATCTCAGACAAACCGGCTGGAGGAAGAGAAGGGAGGGGAGAAATAAACGCGACACGGAAGCCTGAAGAAAGGTCGAAAATCATTAACATGTAAATGGTGCTTTTTCCATTCCAAAGCACCTTATCGCCAGAAGCCCCCAGGGACTGGAAGGGTTCGGAACTCCGCGTTAGGCAGCTCGGGCACTGCAGGGGCGGGGGCGGAGGGAACCCGGACGGCGGCCCGACCCTGCTGGGAAGAGGGACTTGCAGCTAAAGGCATAGGATTCGGGGAGGGCCAGAACCTGGCCGAGGATGACAATATCAAACACTTCCTGGTTCCTTCCCCAAACGTGCTCTCTGTGGTCCTGTATATCGCTGCCTTCCCCAAAGACACCGGAGGAAAAAATAGAAATCTATAGAGATCCCCCGGAGCCCCGCCGCCCGCTCCTGTCTCCCTCTAGCCGGGGGCGGGATAGAGGGTGAGAAGAGTGTCCCAATCGGTGACTTCAGGTTTTGAACAAGATATTCCAGGAAACTTTTATTTGTAGCATGATTTCGGGGGTAGGGGGTGGGCAAAAGATGAGGAAAGCTTTTATAAAACTTGTTTTTTTTGGTGCGCGGCACCAGGGCCGCTGAACGTTGGGTTTCTTTCGCTTTGCAGCAGGCGACAGCCCTGGGCGCCACCTGCGCGCCCCGTACGGAGTGGAGGCGGGGTCGGGGTGGGTTGGTCCGCGCCCGGGTTCCCCGACGCCCACTGCAACGGGCAATGCGAATGACAGACTGCAGACCCTCTCGCCTGCGTCCCCTTCAACGCCCCATACATCGAAGTTCGAACTGCGGCTCCCGTGAGGCGAGCCGAGCCGGGCCGAGATTGCGGCGGAGAGGAAGCGGCGCTCCTCCACCGAAGCTCCTCCTCTCGCCGGTGCAGCCCGGGACTACCTGGCGGCGCGGCGGGTGCGGCGCGCAAACCGCAGCGCGCCCCCGCGGCGGCCACCTCGGAGCCCACCTTGCTGGCCGGCGCGCAGGACGGAGCGCACAGCCGGCTCCCCACCAACCTGCGGCCGGCTGTCCTCCCTCCACCGAACCCCGCGCGCCCGCGCGTCAGTCCCTGCCGGGCGCCCAGAGGGCCGCGCTCACGCAGTTGGCGCAGGCGGCCTTACGCTAGAGGCGCAGCGCCCGCCAGTCCGCCCGCCCCCTGCACTCTCCCCGCCCCCTCCCTCCCTCGCAGGGGCCGAGCGAATGTAGCCCGCGAGAGAAAATGGCGGCGGCGGCGGGGAATCGCGCCTCGTCCTCGGGATTCCCGGGCGCCGGGGCGGCGAACCCAGAAGCGGGCGGCGGCGGAGGGGCCCTCAAGGCGAGCAGCACACCCACGGCAGCCGCGGGGCTGCTGCGGGAGGCGGGCAGTGGGGGCCGCGAGCGGGCGGACTGGCGGCGGCGGCAGCTGCGCAAAGTGCGGAGTGTGGAGCTGGACCAGCTGCCCGAGCCGCCGCTTTTCCTCACCGCCTCGCCGCCGTCCTCCTCCACTTCCCCGTCGCCGGAGCCCGCGGACGCGGCCGCTGGCGGGAGCGGTTTCCAGCCTGTGGCGGTGCCGCCGCCCCACGGAGCC